ATTGCCAAATAAAAATCTTAATGTTAGTTCCGTTTTTCGCCACGCCCATTCTCTTTCCGCACAGACTCTATTCGACATCGTTTATACTCAGCGATTAGTCAGCGACTATTCGGCAAAACAATTCGATTATAATCGGCACCTAACAAATGAAATAAAACTCAAAACTTATGCTTGATTTTAATATCAAAACAGTCCCGTCTGCTGCCTGGTCCGCGTGGAATTTTTTCTAGTTATATTTTCTTTAGATTTAAACATCAAGCAGTTACATGCTTTAAAAATAATAAAAATTATAATCAAAACAGTACCCAGACAGAGCATGTATCTAAAGTTACCTACAGTCTTAAAATATTAAAAAAGAAGTGACAATAGGAATTAGGAACTTAGGAATCTGTCAGTATGTATCTATAATAATTAATAATGCCATAAATAATACGCGTACCCCTAGAACAATACATAAAAATAAATTTAAAGTACAATATAGCAGATTGGCTATGATTAGATCTGGACCATTTTGTAGTGCAATACAGATTTATAACAAACTACCTAATAACTTAAGATCAGAAACAAACATTAGTCAATTTCTAAATAAATTAAAGCACTTCCTGCTACAAAAGCGCTATTATTCTTTAAATGAATATCATAATGAGAATATATTTCTTACATTATAATGTATTTTAACTAAAATTAATAATAACAAGAGAAAAATAATTTAACAATAATTTAAATTACAAATATAATAGTAGTAATAAAGAAGTAAAATTAGGAATAATGAATAATTCATTATTTATAATTATATTTATGAATGTCCATTGCACGCTAATACAATTTACTTTGCTATGCCCAAATGGGTAACATAATTCGGTCGATTATATTATATACCTACCATCTTTTGTACATTTATGATATGCAATAAATGTTTGACTTTGACTTTTAGTTATCAATTTAGTCAATTAATATTGAAACTCATAGTTCTCTGATAATCTCAGGCTACGAGCTTACGTTTAAAGAGATGTCGATTAAAATACTTATCGATAGAATCTCACATGTCCGCTGCGGAGGAGTCGGCCACTAGTAATTGCTTATCGATGTTATAATATTTCCCTTATCTCTCGTTAATAACTTCGAATAAATGGACAGCAATGTAGCCGTCCAGAGATAAACAGAACATACCTTTTCAAATGCAGCTAAGGGAATATAGTGTTAGTGTTTATATATTTTCCGATCAATTTCATTCGCGAGTATATTTAATAATTTTTTACTGTATTATTTTTCCATACGTATCACTATTATTGGCTTTCCATGTTTACAAGTATAATGAAAAAAAAAATGTGTGTGTCAGCTCCGACGCACGACTGGAGTTTACTCCTTAAGTTCGATAGTCTAACCAGACGCAAAAAGAGTTTATTTAACTTAAAAAAGATTGATACTGTATGAAAGGGTAAATTAACAAATTAATAAAAATAATATACATATATAAATATATATTTATTCATTTCATATACATTTATTATAACTAATCGACGAAATATTTTACATTAAACTTTTTACAATAGTCAATTTCAGATGTACATAAATATATCCTTAGGAATGTTGATAAATTATGTAATTATTATTATCAGACTATCATATTTTTTTTAAATTATTATTAAAACAACATTGTTTGCATTATTGATTACAGTGACAAGTGGTTTATGGTAACTAAAATAAGACACATGGACGTTCGTAGATACGTGGTTCACGAATCTTGCCAATACCGCATCAATGGTTGTACCATACCTCGTTGTCCCCATTGCTCTATCAGAAACAATATCTAAATTCAGTTCAGATTTTAAAAAAAATATTAATGTCAATCCGTCATCTTTGTTTGTTGCGCGACATAGGATGCGCACCAAAAACGTAACGAGGTCATTCATCGATAGATTTTACTCCTCACATTTTTCTCATACCGGGCCCCTTATATATGCAAATCGATTGTTAAGGAGTAAACTCCAAAACTAAATAAGTACCTACCCATACAATGATCAATACAATAACAGATAAAATACCCTTCACATGCAAAAGTATGACACATTGTGTTTTATTCAGTGCTTACATTTTTAACATATTTTAGTTATTTATCAAACCATTCACTAGGACAAGAACCCTTTTTGAAGAAAACCCTCAGACAGCTATAAATAGTTGTGGTATTTGTAAACGTCCACAAGTTGTTAGTGATTTACGTGGCAGAAAAGCTAACCGCACCACATTTCACCCTCCTGGAATAAAATTCTTGGCATTTTCGTTCCAAAATTATAACTGATAACTGTTAACAATTTCAGCTTATATTAATAATATACCAGCCTTTATACACAGTTCCGGTCAGGGGTCCGCCATTTTGAACTTTCATTTACGTAACGATGATTATTATTATCATAGTTTCGGTAACGTAGTTTTCGTGGCTGCCTGATATTTGGGAATTTCATATTTGGGAACAGAAAAACATTGGATACCAACATTGTCAAGCAAGCGTGTCAAACCTGTCACAGATTAATGTTAATAATAATTATTATTTATTTGCTTTAAAACACGGTATTATGATCTAAAGAAAATATAACTAGAAAAAATTCCACGCGGACCAGGCAGCATAGGTGCGGGTTCGAGTTCCGTCTGCTGCCTGGTCCGCGTGGAATTTTTTTCTAGTTATATTTTCTTTTGATTTAAACATCAAGCAGTTACATGCTTTAAAAATAATAAAAATTATAACTATAATATGGCTATTTCTTCTTTCAAATGTTTAATACTTGTAAAAGTATTCATTTGGCATTGTAGGTATAATGCGAAGAGATGACGCTGCCTTGCAGCTTAAGAATGGCTAGAAGAATTCCGACGCGGTCCGTGAGGGCCGCGGTAGCATAATTGGTCAGTGCATTCGCCCGGATTGCGAAGGGTGCGGATTCGAGTCCCGTCTGCTGCCTGGTCCGCGTGGAATTTTTCCTAGTTATATTTTCTTTAGATTTAAACATCTAGAAGTTACATGCTTTAAAAATAATAAAAATTATAACGGTATTATGAGTTAGTACAAAATTAACAATGTTCACGCGTTTTGCCATTTAAGTCCAGTTATGTTCGTCTGTCATCTTCTTATTAGTTGTGCCATTTCTTAATAATTACATAAACAGCGTTGATTCATATTCCCTTTTGGGAAGGAAATACTACGGTACAAATCAATGGGGTTTACCAAATCATACCATCAATGGGGAAAAAATTCTGTACTCTACTACTGAGCGTTCTTGGTCTATTATCACTAATTTTCCTGTAAATATCTGTTTGTGATGATGTGACAGCCCGAATCGTTTATTTGAACTACCAGGAAAATGTTGAAAATTAACATCAAGTTCTTATTACAAACAATATTCCTGATTATTGACGTTTAGGTATACGGACATACCACAAAAGATACTGATGCAACATTTGGTCGGCGAAAATAAGGAAAATATTAATTATAAGCAATTTCTTCTAAAATTGTTATTGAAACACATAACGTTACAGTTATTTTTGACGTGACAACGTCTTAAATTAGGTTGCGGCTGGGAGTCACTTATGAAAAAGTGTAACGCTCGGTAACGTTACGATGAGTCTCTCGTGTTAAGTTTAAGTTTACATGTACAATGTTTTAGTAAACAAAATATATTTCTATAGTTAAAATTTGTGCAATTCTTATTTTCATTCAATTCCTTGTTCCTATTGTGCAATTTAATTATATTCATATCAATAAATATTCTACCGAGAAAAAGACGTTGTCACGTAAAATCTTCGCCCGTAAAACCGACTTTACAGGCAACCATTTTTTTTGTATACGACAACTTTCTGGAAAATCATAATATTATAAAATGTTTCTGAACTATTTTAGTTCTACAACAAAACGAACGCAAGATACATGACGACAATTTGTAGAAATAAACAAAAATATTGTGGTCTAGCGGACCGCCCTCGCTTCGCTTCGGTGTAGAGCAGCTGTAGTGTAGGCTATGGTTTATATATTGTTTTCAGGCTTGTAATATACACACTGACTTTCTTTATATTGTTATTAATCTTCTTTTATAAAAGCGCGTTAAGTTCATTTTATTAACAAGCAATAAAAGCTTACTTTTGGAAAGAGGTTTTTTTATTTGGCTAATGTCAAAAAATATGGTCACGGATAGTGCATTTATCGAGAAAGGCTATAGGCTATATAACATCACGCTACTATCAGTAGCAGCGGAGTATCTCTTTTATATATATATATTTAGATAGGTCCGACAAATGACTCCACCCCACCTGATGTAAAGTGAAGGTGAAGTTCAGACGCGAAGATAGCTGATACAGCAATTCTAAATGCCACACCAGCCATCCTCACCCTGCCGGCCTGCATGTTGCTTCCTCACGCCTCTTTTAAAGGATCCCAGGTTGTAAGAGGGAGGGAACACGTGAGCACGTGATCTACAAATATGTTGCAAAAACGGGTAAAAATGTTCCATTTGTGACCTTCCGTTGCCTGCGCTGCGGAAACGATTCAAGTTACTCAAAACCATATATGACGGTATTATTTCCCTTTAAAAAATCATTAAAAAAGTCCGAGACAACTAATGCCCATAAATTTGAACCTTTTTCGTCAAATTGACGCTGGTGAAACCGCATGGGGACCTCTTGTTATATGACATAACTGTAGTAGTTAAACATATGGTATTCAATCAATCAATCAAATCTTTTCACTTTATAATATTGGTAAAGATATAAATAACCTATTGAATGATTAGTTTAATATATTAATACATATATGTATTTTTAAACCTCTTCTAATCTTCTAATCTAATCATATATCGTAATCATTTTGCAATCTATCAGTCCAGTTGTAAATCGATTAAAATTCAAATTACAAAAGTTTGGCCGTCAAACGGTGCAAAAGATAAGCCATTACAGGAAACTCAATCGTCAATCAGGGTTGGTTGTATCTGTATCGGGCGTCATTATTCAGCGCAGTTGAGGAAAACAACAAGTGTCCGGTGTGCGCCTGCGCCTGCGCCTGCGACACCGCTCCGGTGCGTCAGCGCAGATAACGCGCGGCGGCGACGGCGGTGTCCGACGCGAGCCGCTCAGTCGCGATTCGACCTCTGACCGCGCGCGTTACTCTAGCCTACAATGTACGCGTTACCATTGCTCTCGGACTGGCTGCAGAACTTGCAAGCTAACGCAGGTCCGATAACCTTCTTCGTTCCTTTAACTTGTGCGATTCCCACACTATTCTGCAGATCTGCACCATCATGCAGATTTCACCATAAAAACGCTCTGCGTGATCTGCAACACTGCGCGCGAATGCGTTTTGTCTGTGTTGTAGTACGCGTGTTTCAAAGCAAAGAGAGGTTCTCGCATGCAACGAAATAACCCGCACTCCCTTGGCACGCTGCGTGATGCGGTGCAGCGTGTGAATCGACTTATAAAGAACTCCGTCTTATTTTGTTAAATTACAAAATATGTCTTTGCAAATGTGATTGTTGACGTGGTGTTGTGCATCGCAGGTGGCGGCGGCGTAGGCGGCGTGGCTGGCGTGGGCGGCGTGGGCGTGGGCGGCGTGGGCGGCGTGGGCGGGCTGTACTCGCAGAACGTGGTGATGGGCTCGTGGTGCGCGCCCTACGATGCGCTGCAGAGGCCGCCCGCATACGGTAAGCTCCATTGACATTAGGTATACTTCATAAAATAGCATAAGCTAAGCTAAATGTGGTTCCCGTTGAGGAGTTGATGTGACCTTATTTGATACAGGTTTAGCCAACCCTGCAAGGAATAAATGATAGATTGACTCTTATTTCAATAGTCGATTAAAATCACGTGTATTAATTTACAAAAAAGTAATCTTTATTATATGTGGGTATGTTAGTTTATGTAAATAGTATAAGTAAAGTACTTAAATGAACACAAAGATTAGCTTTATAAGCCGGCGAATGTGTTGAAAACGTAAACAGTAGTTATACCGTTTTTCTGGTTATTATACAAATTAATTTGTAATACATTAGCAATACTTGAATCTAAAAAATATTATTGCTTCATTGTTTTTTAACCTTTATCAGTTGAATTGCCAATTTTAATTGTATCATGATTACTGAAAACGAATGTCACGTGCAGTTATTATTTCACTGCACTGTTACAGCTCACGTGTTATCTTTATACACGCGTATATCATTCATTGATTTATATTAAAAGACACTTTGTAGAACTTTTTTCGTTTGCCGTTAGCTTTAGCTATATCATTCATATTACTTATAATTACAGTTTATCTATTAGGTAATATACAGGTGGTTCTTATTAGTTTATGAATGGGTAAAATTGAAGAAAATGGGTAAAAATAAAAAACATAAAGTCGAAACATGTTTGTAAGATAAATTATTTACGGGATTGTTACCATGTACCTTGTTTTTAGCGAGTTTCCGATATTTCGGCACTGTTACAAGCACCATGATCACGGAGTAACTGAAGTAATTGCGGGTAGGCTGTATATGGATGGAGTATTTTGAAGAAAAAGCCTTTATCACCGCACCCACAGAAATAAAACTATGGAAGAGGTATATCGATGACGTATTCTGTATATTAAGAGGTAACAAACATGATGTCGAGTCTCACTTGGCAAATTTAAATGGTATCCATTCTAAAATCAACTTTACCTATGAGATTGAAGAAGACAGAAGTCTGGCCTTTCTGGATGTGAAGATTCGGGTGAGGAATGACGGTTCGCTTGGCCATTCCATTTACCGCAAACCTACATACACTGACCGCTATCTCAACGCCTCCTCGCATCACCACCCTAAACATCTTTACTCTGTAGTGACTTCACTGACGAACCGTGAATATGACATGTGTGATGAGGAACATCTTCAAGAAGAATTGGAGCATGTCTTACAGAGTAATGGATACCAGGGACATTTTCCATCTAGACACAAACTAAGACACCAGAGACACAAGTAGACAGACCTGTTTATTTACCATACGTCAAAGGAGTGACTGACAAGATCTCAAACATACTGAATAAGTACTCACTAAACACTGTCTTCACTCCTGTACGAAAGGTTTCACAATACCTACGGTCTCCTAAAGACAACTTCCCCTAGGAGAAACCTGGTGTCTATAAGATCGATTGCAGCTGTGGCAGTTCGTACATTGGCCAAACAAAGCGAACAGTATCATGCCGAATGAGGGAACACATAAAAGCAATCAAGAACAACGATACGCAGAAATCAGCCATCGCGGAACATTTGATTGATTCTGGTCCCAACCACTGGATTGAGTTTCATAACCCACAGATTATCTCGACAGAATGCCACTACATACCAAGATTGGTCAGGGAAGCAATTGAAATAACAAAACATAAAAATTTCAATCGTGAGGACGGGTTTAAATTGTCGAGTGTCTGGGAATCCTGTGGTTCGTATGTGTAAAACCGGAACTAATCAAAAAAATGTCGTGTCGCGATCCGATACTGTAAGTGTTGTGTGTCGAGAACAGTTTCGAGTGAATAGTGAGAATGTGAACAGTGGTACGGGTATCGAACGCAATAAAAGACTTCGTCGGAGGGTAGACCGATATGTCTGCCAATTACATCCTACCCGCAATTACTTCAGTAACTCCGTGATCATGGCGCTTGCAACAGTGCCGAAATATCGAAAACTCGCTAAAAACAAGGTACATGGTAACAATCCCGTAAATAACTTATATCACTATAATGTTAATGACCATGAAAGTTTAAAACAATACAATGTTTGTAAGAAATTTAACCTCGTATAGATTAGTAAGCGTAAGACGTAATATATAGTGAATAACAGAGAAAAAATTCTCACCAATCTACATGCGTTGGAAAAAAGATTAGAAGATTGTAGTAACCAAATCAGACTACATAAAACTAGTGTACAAAGTGAACACAATCCCAGTGTTCGGTAAAACCTACACAGGTTTTTGTAGCACTGGTAAATAAATTGTTATTATTTATAGTAATGTGAAATTCAATAAATAAAAATAAAAAATATGGGTGCGTGTACTTAAGTACGCGCGTGAGAAGTTATACTTCTTTTTGGAATTATTAAAAAATAGTTTTTAATTGCATGCAGATAATTAATTACAATAAGATAATAAAAGGATTGGAAAAGGATAGTCAACGCAGTCAATAAAGTTCAGTTTTAATTTGAAGAATTTAATAAATAATCAAAATATTCAATTTAAATCACTACTGAATAAAATTTATATTAGCACATATAAATTTCGCATTTGTATAACATTATAACACGTGTTAAGAATAAAGAAACTAGAAACATGTGGATAAATATTATAAATATGAAAACAGTGATCAGAGGCGACGAGCGTCCCAACATGTGCGACTAAGAGATCCTATTACTATTTTGTTGGAAGCTTTTTTTCGAGACTTACGAGTAATGTGCGGTTTAGCGGCCGACTTCATGGTGTTACTTTTCTGTTACAGTGTTGCGCGCGCATCTTAAAATTTCACTCTCATAATTTTATCATAACGCGGCTAAAGAAGTATAACTTCAAAAATACTTACTGTGCTTAAGATTACACTTTAAAATACATACGTTATTATAAATGAAGGTGTTTACCACTAAACAGAGATTATAACATTTAACATTCCTGAATATCATAAAAGTTAAAATGAACGAGGGTTTTCCCCTGATCGGCGTTTACAACTTGACCAGTTAATATAACTTATATATAAATATAACTTGTAAATAACAATTAAGCTGATTAAACCAAGTTCGTTGGAGATGACAGTGCGAACATGACGTCACCACGATAAGCCTCGATTCACAGATGTGCTTATTTGTTCAATTGTCCTAATGACGCATTTGTTACTAAGAATCTTGTTGTATTGATCTAAATTAAAATAACGATGATTTGAAAACACTTTGGTTAAAAATGACAGTGTTTGTTTTAGTCAGAATTCCTACGGCAAAAAATAATATGTCTATACTAGCGGCCCGGCTTCGCTTCGCTTCGGTTTAGAGCTGAAGTGTAGACTACAGTTTTTGTTCTCAGGCTTGTATTATACACAATGACATTCATCTATGATTCTTCTTATACCTGCATGCAAAGTCTCAGCCCGATCGGTTTAAAATTGACAAAGTTTCATACAAACTTTCATTCCCTATTTCATCCCCTTGGGGGTAGAATTGATCAAAATCCTTTCTTAGCGGATGCCTACGTCATAACATCTACCTGCATGCCAAATTTCAGCCCGACCCGTCCAGTGGTTTGGGCTGTGCGTTGATAGATCACTATGTCAGTCAGTCCCCTTTGAGTTTTATATATATTGATTTTAAATAGGCATAGGGTTTGGACTAACAGCAAGGTGAGACTTGCCGTATCAGCTACTGGACTCTTTAATCTTAATGTGGGATGTAGTATTTTACAACTTATTCTTCAAATATATAGTTTTCTGCTACAACCAGATTAGGGTAACCGTATTTCACTAGAACAGGCATTTCGAGTTCAATGTCGCGCTGTATGTAAGTTCATTCGTCGATTGGTTTCACCGAATGGCTGAGAGTTATCAAACAAATCGCTTTACAAACAACTAACTGCTAACTTTGTTATATTGTATAATTGTTTAGTTATTTACATAAGAATAACATCGTGAATGCTCATAAGTTCAAATAACTTACTATTATTAACACTGGGTTTTGAACAATTAAGTCATAAAAAAATGGGTGCGTGTACTTATGTAGGCGCGTGAGAAGTTATCCTTCTTTGGCATCGTTTAAAATTAGTTTTTAATTGCATGCAAATAATTAATTACAATAAATTAATAAAAAGTCTGGAAAAGGACACAATCAATAAAGTTCAGTTTTAATTTGAAAAAATAAATAAATAATCAAAATATTCAATTAAAATCGCTACTGAATATAATTTATTAAAACATATGTGATTTGCACTTGTATGAAACTCAAACACGTATTCCGAATATACAAACTAGAAACATGTGGATAAATATTATAAATATGAATACCTATAACTGTTACTTTATTACAAAAAATAAAGATGTGGTTTTTGGTTCTACTACACCAATGGTCAAGAGATGGCGCTATAGTCTCCTGAATCGCGCTTTGGTTCCGTTGTTCCAGATTAATAAATACTTTTGATAGGCCTTTACAATGCAGCCGTTATCACCCACTAAATAGAGATTCTATTTCTATTTTGTTGGTAGATTCTCTTAATGTGCGGTAAACACAAAAGTAACGCATGAAGTTGGTCGCTAAAGAGGCCAACTTCATGCTGTTAAAATTTTGTGTTGTAAAATTGCACTCTCATCATTTTTTCATAACGCGCCTAAAGAAGTATAACTTCAACAAGAAAGACATAAGTGACAACTACTTTTCAAGGGTGTTGTAGTAACTTAAGTAGTAGTATCAAATTTGTAACTGTAATATCCGATGTTCCAAAAGGAGCAATAAGTTATACACAACTGCATGTTATTTTTATACTAGCAAACCAGTGAACCAAATGTTCACCAAAACCTGATTTAAAAAAAAATGTATTTAAATAATTGAGAACTTCGGAGATTTTGTGTGGTTTCGTTTGAAATTCGTGATTTCTCGAAAACCGGAAGTGCTACGTTACTCAAATCCGGTTTGTAGTCTTATCAGACTATTTTTAACTTATAACTTAA